TCAGGCCGGGGCTGCGCAGAACCACACGGGAAGCCCTGGCCCCTCACTCCCCATCCGCGAGGGCCCCACGTCCTCACTCACAAAACCCAGTGTGTCCACAGAGCTGTCGGTAACAGAACAAAAGGGCAGGAGGACCGCGGGTTTTCCACTGCTCCTGCTCGGTGCCCTGTGTGCCCCGGGCAGGCAGCATGGGGTAGCTGTGGTCAGGATGGTTCTTCCCCCTTTCCTCTATGCTTTAAGAGACACAACTACCTCCCCTTTCCAGGCTGACTGGTTTATTTTATTTTTTTCCACAGAAAACATTCACTTGGTTTTATAGCTTCCCTGTGTAAATCTAGGCAACTCTCCCAAGAGCCCTCCATCGGGGGTGATGTCCCAGATCCGTGAGGGCAGGGGCCCTGGGAGAGGGTCATGAGGCCTCTGCCTCCTGAGGACCAGGGCTGGGAGTTTGCCATGGGGGGCAAAGGGGCGGGGCTGCTCCGGGGCCCGGGCAGTGGTTATTTCCGGTTTTTAGCAGTTGGCTGAATCTGAGCCTTATCTTCCTGCCCTTCAGCCTTGTGCCAGGCACCAACCGACAGGACCCACTTGCCTAAGGGAGCCCTGAAGTGCAACATGTCTGAAGCAGCCGACCTGGCTCATAGCTCTTCGCACTGCTGCCCAAATACTAGTATTTGGGGTGTTCAGAATGGGAGAGTCGACCTCCCGAGCCCTTCCAGGGCCCGTGATCAGCACTGAGGGTAACAGAGCCAAGGAATGGAGACACCCCTCAAACAACTTTCAGATTCTTCTAATACATGCCCGCTGTAGAAACTGTTTAAAACTGATGTCTGCAAGCGCAATAAAGGATGAATGTAATAGCTACACGAATCCTGCTACTAAAATATAATCATGGCTAATTACTAATTATTAACACTTTGGCTTATTTCTTTCCAGTCTCTTTCTCTAGACACATAATTACTTTAACAAGGTGGAAGTCATACTGAATATTCAGAATTTATTTTATTTTATTAGATGTATTAGGGCAACATTGATTAATAAGATTATATGAGCTTTGAGTGTACAATTCTGTGATACATCATCTGTTTATTGCATCATGTGCTCACCACCCAAAGTCTAGTCTCCTGCTATAACCATACATTTGCCTCCCTTCTTACCCTCTTCAACCTCCCCCCAGCCCTCTCTGCCTCTGGGAGCACCACACTGTTGTCCGTGTTCATGCATTTGTTGGTTTGTTGCTTTCTGTTTTTATTCCACATACGAGCGAAATCACATGGTTCTTGTCCTTTTCTGTCAGACTTGTTTTGCTTAGCATGATACTCACAGGATCCATCCTATTGTTCCAATGGCAGGATTTCAAATATGAGTAAGGTATCAAAAGAAGTTTCCATTCAAATCCTAATCCATTCATCAGTATTGACAAATTTTACTGAAACTTTCAAACTAAATCCAGTACCTTGCCCGTGTTGCTTGGCAAAGCAGTGACATCTGTCCAGTTGCGTTCGATTCTAACCACAAACGGTGAGGACAGAGTGCTGCTCCTGGGGTCCTCCCGCTCAGCCTGTGCAGAGCAGGCTTCACCACAGTGAGTCAGGTGGATCCCAAAGGAGGCTCCCAGTCAGTGAAAACCAGAACTCGGACACCAACCTGTGTTCTGCTTCCATTCGCTTCTCCAGTCTGCTGCTTTTCCTCCCGTGATTAATGCCCATTGCGAGAGATTGGTTCTCACTCACTATGGAATCCGTTAAGTGGATTAGACTTTGAATAGGCAGGTGACATTGTGGGTACTTGACTGGTCTTATTAAACTTTGGTTTAAGGAAAGTCCTACTTCAGACTTGGCCAGGTACGCCTTCTTTTTGTTGACTTTTGAAGAATATATTTAAATGATGATTCAAGAGTGGCCTGTGACACGGGACTGTAAGGCAGCAGCCTATAGAGATGGTTATTTAAGGAAATAATTTTTCGGCAAGAAGAAAAATTTCCTAAACCACTCCTACTTCCTGTCATTCATATTCTTCAAAGGGTGTTGATGGGGTTTTTGATTTGTAATGTCAATGTGATATTGCCTAAAAATCCCAAAGCTGTTAGCAGTGGATAAAGATGATCATTTCTGTTTGCTTTCTTTAAAAAAAAAAAAAAGTGGTGAGAAAAAGTAAAGAAAGCCCAGTAGTGGTACTTTAAAATTGGGGCTTAGGTTAAATATTTCTTATTTTCTTTAATGTGACAAAACCATCTTAAGAAAACACACAGCTAAGACATAGTGGCAATAATTCGTATAAATTAGGCTATTACCTGAGCTACCAAGGCCGTTAAAAACAATTACATACTTAGTACTCCTGAAAGGCTTCTGAGATAAATCTTAAGATGTAGGAATTGCTTATGCAATGCTACAAAAAATGCCAGGCTCTATGTTGGATTACTATCTGGTCAGTTTTATTGTAATTACTCAGTGATTCTATAAGACTAAGCCTCAAAAAAATAACGAGCAGTTAATGAACTACACAGTAACCAAATCTGAATGGGGCCAGGTCAGTTGAGTTTCTTGAGAGGAGAGAGAATAGGAAACCTAATGGGAACTGTGTGGCAGGTGTGATTCCGGTTGGAAACAGGACTAAATTGCATGGCAGTCCTGCTCTCTGAAGAACTAGGTATAAATCTGTCATTAAAAAATGAGTGTTATGTTATTGATTAAAAATTAGTAGAGTATTAGCTTCCAGTATTTTAATTTTAAAGAGCATCATTGGGTACAACTGTTACAACTTGAGTGAAAGAAGACAAATCATGTCCCTTCAGTGAGATGTTCCTTAAATTCATCTTAGATTAATTTTGACTGGAAAGTTTTCAGGGAATTGTGCTGAGCCTAAAAATTCCCCCCAAACCTTAGCATCTGTTCTGTATTCACAAATGGAAATAACTACATGTCAAATGCAAGAAGATTCTATTTCCTTCAGACCAGTGGTTCTCAACCTTCTGGCCCTTTATTTTTTTTTTTTTATTAAATCTTTATTGTTCAGATTATTACATTTGTTCCTCTTTTTTCCCCCCATAACTCCCCTCCTTCCAGCTCCCACCCCACCCTCCACCCTCACTCCCCACCCACTGAGATCATCCATAGGTGCATGATTTTTGTCCAGTCACTTCCCGCATCTCCCACACCCCTTTTCCCCCAAGAATAGTCAGTCCATTCCCTTTCTATGTCCCTGATTCATTATAATCACCAGTTCATTCTGTACATCAGGTTATTTATTCACTTGATTCTTAGATTCATTTGTTGATAGATGCATATTTGTTGTTCATAATTTGTATCTTTACCTTTTTCTTCTTCTTCCTCTTCTTAAAGGATACCTTTCAGCATTTCATATAATACTGGTTTGGCGGTGATGAACTCCTTTAGTTTTTCCTTATCTGTGAAGCTCTTTATCTGACCTTCAATTCTGAATGATAGCTTTGCTGGATAAAGTAATCTTGGTTGTAGGTTCTTGGTATTCAGCACTTTGAATATTTCTTGCCATTCCCTTCTGGCCTGCAAAGTTTCTGTTGAGAAATCAGCTGACAGTCGTATGGGTATTCCCTTGTAGGTAATTGAGCCCCTTTCTCTTGCTGCTTTTAAGATTTTCTCTTTGTCTTTTGCTCTTGGCATTTTAATGATGATGTGTCTTGGTGTGGTCCTCTTTGGATTCCTTTTGTTTGGGGTTCTCTGCGCTTCTTGGACCTGTAAGTCCATTTCTTTCTCCAGGTGGGGGAAGTTTTCTGCCATTATTTCTTGAAATAGGTTTTCAATATCTTGCTGTCTCTCATCTTCTGGTATTCCAATAATTCTGATATTAGTGCGCTTGAAGCTTTCCCAGAGGCTCCTTACACTATCTTCACACTTTCGGATTCTTTTTTCATTTTGCTTTTCCAATTGGGTGTTTTTTGTCGAATCTTTGGTTTGAGTCTTGTGCTCCTCTGGTCTGCTGTTGGGTATAATATTCTTTATTTCAGTCCGTGTATGCTTACTTTCTAATTTCTTTATCGTAGCATCGAGGGTCTCATTAGTTTTCGTGAGGTCTGCACAAATTTATGGCAAGCCCTCAAAATTGCGATTCTTAGCTCCATATCCTCCATTTCTGTCATGTTTTTTTGTCTCCGCATCTTATATGCTTTCTTGGTGCACCCCCTTGTGGTCTC